AAAAAAAATTGTTCGCTAAAAAACGACGCACGGTGAAAGACAAAAGTTTCTGGTTTGAACTTCAACGCTTACTTCAATGTTGAAGCTCAAACGTTTCAGCGCTATACATTTGTGGATTTTCAAATGAAATGTCAGAAAAAAAACAGTCATTTTTTCTCGTACCTAGTGCAAAACTAAGGGTGCCCGCAATAATAAACAGTATATATAACCAAAAACTTTATTCCCGTTACCTACCAACGTTGTAGTCTCAATTTTGTTCGAGAGATAACATACAATTAAAAGTATTTAATTAGAAAAACTCAGCTTTAGCGCAGAAAATTTAGATATTATTTATTCTCACCGTTAATTTCCAGGTTGAAAATCAAAATTAAAAGTTGATCAGAAAGCATCTGTTAAATGTTTGTTTTCATTATTTTTCTATTGATAATCTAGCAAATCTGAATGAAATCCGTCAATGGTCTGTATAAATTGAGTATACAAAAAAAATTTAAATAAAGCAGTTTAAAGCAATTTTAATTTCATCGAATTTCATCGAAAAGTTAAACCAATAAAGCTTGAAAAAAAAGTTTTTAATCATTTAAGAAGCGACTAAGGTTGTTTTTAAGCTACGTTTTTGCTTTAAAGTAAATCAACTTTGAATCGATACAAATCAATTTTTACATGTCTCTGCATCATTGTCTGTAAAAAATTTATTGGAATCCATTTTGCTGCCAGTACGGGTGTGATTTTGGCATAAAACAAGCTATGTTTTCCGTTGTTAGTCAACTTCAAAATAAATTTGCTGCATTCATTGTAATTAAACTGACTCAAAAAAATTTTAAGCGTTTTTAACTGAATAATTTATTCTGCAATGAAAACAGTTTTAAAGGTCTTAGCTATCTTTCTACATTAAATTTTTCCGCTGAAACATGTTTTTTTTACTGCCACGAAAATCAAAAAAAATCGTTGACACAAATCAAAACCACTGGTTTTATACCAATTTAGTCATGGAACAAGGTCAGTCCACTTCTATAATGTATGAGACATTTTTCATTTGTTTTGCACTAAAGTTTCCCAAAATTCTGCAATTCTTGGTACCAGCATCTCATTATGCGCTCTTGTGTGGCTATAACGAAAAGGCTGATTTTATTTTTCAAACAATAGCTCAAAATTGAATGAAAATGTTCACTAACACACTGTTTCGTTGGCGTACTAAAGACTTGTGCGGGCTCTCTGATTCAGTCATAACTATCGTGCTCGCAAAATTTTCAAATAGAAAATTTTCTGTGTTCAACTGGTGAAGAGTAGAGAAAATTAGAAAATTTTTAGGGTCCGTCAACCAAGATAGATATCTCAAAAAAGTACAATGGGGACCCTTTGAGTAGGCAGGGGGTTGGACCCTGAGGAGATATAAACATTTTTATGGTAAATGTTTTCTGCAGAATGCTTTGGAACACTTTGCTGGGTATGAAACAATTAACTACACAGCATTGATGATTTTATCGAAAAATACAGTTTTTGTCCTCAAACAAACTCCACAGAAAACAGAACTAAAAATGGGCAACACAAAATGCGGTCTTATATATTGCCTTACATTTATGAAATAATGCTAGTCATAGAAAATTTATACAGTTTTTAATGTATGAGATGTTGTAAGATAATTGTATGACTAGTTTTTTTGTCAGCACGGGAAGTTTTCTCATCACAGATTGAGTTTGATGAAACAATTATTCTTGAACATTTGAAAAAAAAACATATTTGTTACATTATGTTTTTAATGATTTGATATGCGGTTCGCGTTTTATGCGATCAACTGGGTGACTCAAAGTAACAAATGGCTCTGATAACTAAAGAAATTTTGAAAACTATTATAACGAGGACAAACTGTGCATTCTGTGCAATGCAAGCGGATTCCGCAAGAGGCCAAAATCAGATTTGTCGTGAAATCCGCAACTTTGCTACTTTTCTTCGATCTTCTTTGCTGTTTTGAATTCCACAAACTATTACCTCAAACACTGTACCGCTCAAAATCGCTCCAAAAATAGGTGATTTTGCGGAATCCGCAACCGTACTTGCGGAATTCAGAACAATTTGTGAAATCCACAAACAAATAATGACACATTTGTAGAATTAAATTGAGCTGTTGCGGGTTCCGCAACTGTAAGCGGAACCCGCAACGTGTAAGTGGAATCCGCAAATAGTAAGAGGAATCCGCATTTTGCTTGCGGATTCCGTTTACATATAAGTATATGTCTAGTATAGCGTTTAAAATTATTTCTTTGAATTGCTGGTCAACAGATAAAGTCAATCTCAATTACTAAATTGATCAACTACCAGTTGAAACGTTTGGTGTCAGTTCCTGTCAACCCAACTTCGATCTCAAATCCTGTCAACTTCGATCTCAACTTCGTTCCCAAATTTTGACCTATTGAATTTGATCCCAAATACTGATGCAATCCCAAATACTCAATTAAGTTGGCGATATGCTGTGCGTTGTGTTTCCAAACCATGGACTACAAATATTTAATTTATTCGGTGTTAAGCTTCCAAAACACTAAAAGCTGATATCCACCGATTTAGTTGACAAATGTTTTGAGATTTGTTCGTGGATGCAACTGAAAATTGTTAAGTCCTTGCCTTTAAATTCCGCATTGCTATAGATAAGAATTCCAGCTCCAGCTTTCAATTGCTCATATGCAAGTTCAGTAATAGACAAAATCCTGAATCCACTTACATTTTGCGGAATCCGCTGACATTTTCGGGTTCCGCTTACAAATTTTGCGGTTTCCCCTTACATTTGAGGATTCCACTTACATTTTGTGGAATCCACTTGCAGTCGCGGAATCCAGAATAACTAGTTATGTTTGCCTGTTGCGGAATCCGAGACACAACAAATGTGCCGAAAATTTTTAAGTTACAGGTATTTGTACGCGGATTCCACGGAAGTTTTGCAATTGGAATCCACTGACATTTTGGAACATGTTTCAAAGTTGTCTATGGAATCCAGGAACATACAGACACAAAATTGTGCGCCTATCCAGTGCACAGTTTGGCCTCGTAATGAAAGCGATTTGCTCATTGTTTTTTTTTAGAAAATTCATTACGTTTGATTAATATCTAAACCGTTTGAAACTAATTTTAGATTTTAACTTATGTAACATTTTTTCTTTACGGCCCTGAAAACGAAGAAAAACTTAAACGTATTTCAAATTGACCATGTGTTTTAACGAGTGCGTTAAATCTCGTTGCAAAAATTCTGTGCAAAACTCAGAAAGTTAAAATAATCTGAACAAAAAATAAGAAAGTCCTCTCTGCATAATACTAAGACCTAGAGTTGTTGACAACTTCTTCGAGGCGCTTCGAAACGATATCACACTCCCATTCATCAGTTTGATAGAAAGGAAAACGGCCTGAAAATAGCGTTAGTTTTATTTCATCTCAAAATTTTGAAGCTTTTTGATGTAGAACTGTTTTTTTTTTCACTGAAATGAAGGCGCCTAATATGTCTATTATGTCTGAAATATCCATACCGCCATTTGATTGCTCGACAGAATGGAAGAATTTTAAACGCAGAAATTGACGTCTGGAGATCTGAAAATAGGCTTGTCGGCGGTGCCTTGTATAGAAAAAGTCACCGGCTATGACCAACCATGACATACAACAATAGAGAAAAGAAAACCATTGGAAGTGCGCTATAAAATGGCAAGTGAACAAAAACAAAGAACGCACGAAGAAAAAAATGTAAATTGAAAAAAATAAACCATTTGATAGGAGGCATAATTGAGAACAAGTTAGTAATTCCGCGAGAAATATTTATTGGCTGATAAAAATGGTGCGCATACAGGCATTGCTATTTTCAAATGTTTAATTATCCCAAAAACAATTTTGGGCTTAAAAATGTTAATTTTGAACCAGTTGACGTACATACTATTCAAACAAACGTGAATTATTTATTTTTCTCGATGCAGTGATCGCGATGAAGTTAGAAGTTAAAGGGAGGAGCGATGCGAGCCACATTTCGTGGAATGGAGAGAGAGTTTCTATACCTGGGACTACTTTGACGCCCAGTGTTGCTGCTGATATTCATGCCCATCTTAATCAGGTACAGAAGCGTGCCACAGAGGAGGGGGTGAGGGTGGGAGAAGGGGAATTTCTTTGCTAATTTGGCTACTCAATGCTGGCGGCCAAATTTTTCTACACTGCTCCCCCTTTGGTGTTCAACTATGACATACGTTTTTTTGGCCCTAAAGTTTTTCTTAAGTTACCTTCGCCGCCAATTCAATCTAATTTCGAGGGTGGAGCGAACACCGATAATGTACTGCGTTTTTGCTTTGTTCACGTTCCGAAGCATTTTAAAATCGTATCAACATAGAATTAACCTAAATAATTTTTAAATATCATGTTTTTATCTAACCCACATGAACATCAATTTTTGGTGAGAACAGGTGTTTAGAAGCAGGGATGAAAAAAATACATTTTTTTGTTTTAATCCATTTTTTAATTTGTCTCGAGAGACTATAGCAGACCATCACAATTGAGCGATGCCTTAATTATGGTTGGTTGATAGATTAAAATGCTGGCTTTTCAACATGAGTTACCAAAACTTTTTTAAATATTTTTGACAATTCAAACATTTATTAAGTTATATAGTTTCCAGGTTGCACACAGCAGCTGTCAGAATAATGTCATCAGACCCACCTACAAAATTCTCTACTACGGTCATCGAAAAGACAATTCGAAGGAGAGAAGTGGAGAAGTTTGCGTAAACAACAACAACACTACCCCTAATTACAACATCAACAGGGGATCCCAAATCGTTCCCTATGTGGAACCCAAAAAGGTCAACGGAGTTCACCAAAAGAAAGAGTGGAAAACAGATGTTAAGCGAGCGCTCAAGCCACACATAATCCCCCCGAAAAGAAGTCAAATCGGAATTGGGCTGGGGGCATGTGATTCAAACTGGGAAACAGTAAATGCATTGGGTAGTCACGACATAACTGTTCTGTGTCAGCGGGAAGAGGGGGGTCCACTAACGAGGAGGGATAAGATGATGAGGGGTGAAAAGTTGATAGTGGATGGTGTAGAAAGGGGAAGAAGGGCTAATACCTTAGTGGATTCTCTTTCCTCAGGAACTCTTGCCTCAAGTTCAGGTACATACAAGAGTTTTGATGTTTTTCTAAGTTCCTGTTGCTTTTTAAGGATACTTATAAAAATTTACGATCATTTTTTTGAAACAAGTCTTTCATTTCTGCACAAATTGAAAAAATACCATATAAATCTTCTAAAAACAAAAGCATTTGAAGCCTAAGAATAGTTTATTCCATGTTGAAGGTCTGGACTACCTGCAATTCCAGCGTGCAGTCACATTGCACGGTTTTCCAGTCAAGCAGTCCAGAACAGGCAGGCGAAATATCGTCATACAGGTTCGCATTTCCAAAAAAATTGCGATAGTCGAAAATGCGAAAAACGTTCAAGTCTTAGTTATGCCATAATTAGTGTAGAAATTCCGAATCCTTTAATTATGTTTTCTGGTACTAAATCAATTAATGCTGCCTCAAGTTCAAAACTACTAAAAGAGGTGATTTTGTTCAGTTTTTTTGAAAGTGAAATCAACAGAAATTCTCGGCGCAGTATATTTCGGCATTTTGGATTTTTTGTGCCAATATTAAAATGGCTCCTTCTCTTTTCTGGGCTCCAACTTTTCGAAATCTTCGTCGACCTTGTTTTGGGTTGATAAAAATGGTTTCCGAAAATATTTTGACCAAAAAGTTGCGTTTGTTGACGCGCGCTCCCCTTCAAAATTAGTATAAATTGGCGTCAAAAGTTGATCGCCGAAAATGGATGTCATTAAATAACACAAAAGGGAGGATCCTTTGGTTGGGGAGAGGATCGAATCCCTGAGGGGGAGGGAGGAGCGTCCGCCCAACACCTCCCTCTAAAGTTGTCCCTGTGATATATATAATCTCTTCAAAAGGCTGACAAAAATGCTTTTATCTTGATTCTAAGGTAGAGTTTTCACCCACTTGATTCAGCTATTGCAGCGCTTCCTTAGCCGCCAAAAGAGGGCCTTACTTAATACTATTTAACATCCATTTTAGCTTACAAAAATTTTGGCTAAAAAAATTCCTAAACTTTTTCTAAACGTGTCTATGGCGCCAATATACACAAGAACTCAAGGGGGAGCAAAGCTCCTAAAAACGCATTTTTGTGGTCACAACCTTCAAAAGTGCCCAAAAAAATCATTTGATTTTTTACATAAAATTGCATACCCGGTAGAAATTTTTTTGGCAAAATAGGGCTTTCCTAGTGTTTTGGGAGAGCTCAAAATTATCATTTTGTCGCTCCAAAAAGTTCGAAAAAACCCAGCCCCCTCGAGAAAGTCTTAGATTCGAATGTGAATTCATGTATTGTAGAGTGAGAAGAAGAAACAGAAGGATCTAGTGGCGAAGAGTGGGTGGGAGTTGCGACAGGAAGTGGACAGTCTAAAGAGGAGGATGGAGTTGATGGAGAAGATAGACAGAACCAACAACCCCCACATCAGGGCAAACCTCATGCACATGCTCAACAATCAGGTTGCTAAGGGTATATCAAATGGCTCTTCCCAACCCCCCCCCCCCCCCCCACCTCAATTAAGCATCAAGTTTATGGTAGAGCAGTGAATATTACATGGTTAAGTATGAAGAACAAATCTGTTTATCATAGACTAATCAGTCCTTAGGCCAATTTGTGTAAAAATCGGAAAATGTGAACAAAAAGTTACTTGTTAAATTTGGCAGGTTAGGTGGATGAAAAAGAGCCTATCCGGATATCTCAGATTGTGACCAGGGATTAATTATGGCTTACAGTCAGCGGTTCACCATGGCACAAAATAGGGTTAATCATAACTCACCATCAGATTAATCATGACTCATAGTCCGAATTATGACTCACATTCGTACTCATGGCTCACTGTCTTGATCGTTGACCTTGATGTTGATCACTGTGTTGATCTCAAATAGTAAAACACCGTCATGCATTAAAATGTCTAGCACAAAAAGCCGAGCAGCTTACTTCCCCCCAAAACTGTGGAACCAATTTGAGACAATCCATCAAGATTAAGACCATTTATCCACGGGGGAAAGGACCAACACAAGAGCTGTACAGCTCATCACGGCGAACCGCTGTTGTGCCCCTATTTAAGAACTACATGCAATTTTTTTGGTTATTTTTCTGGGCTGGGTAATGTTGCCTCACCCTCAAGCAACGAGCACCCTCAGTAGGCATAATCAGGGGCGGGCTTAGTGGGGGGGGGGGGACTCCCCTCACCAACCAAAGCGTCCCCCTTCAGTTTTACTTTACGACTCCCAGCTTTTTGACCTGTTTTTTCTCAGGGAGTCCTGTTTTTTCAAAAATATGTCTGCGGCGCAAATATTTTCTTCAAAATAGGGCCTTTTTAGTGTTCTGGAGCGCTCGGAAAGGTCGACAAAATTTTCGACAATTTTTTGAAAATCCGCTCCACCCCCCTCGAGAAAATCCTAGATCCGCCCGTGGGCATAATCATTGTTCGCAAAAATCTACCCATAAATTTCCCATTTAGATGATAAGTCGATAAGTAATTTACCTGGTATTATAGCTTCATTCTGTTGTCGAATATTTCAGTCAGCCACAAACAATTGGGACGGCAGTGGGGGATTGGATGGTGCCACTAGAGACAGCAGGAAAGAGAGTGAGTGGAGGGAGAGGGAGAGGGGGGACAGGCGGAAGAGAATAGACTATCAGAAGATAGCAAGGGAGGAGAGAGAGGAGGCAGCCAAGAGGCATAGGGCCAAGAAGATGCGCAAGATGTGGAGGGACAGCATCAACAAGGTCACACATTTATAAAAAATCTTTCAAGAAAAATCACAAGGAAGTAATAAAAAATAGTGTTCGTATATCAGGGCAATGCCCGAAATTTTTGACTGTCTCTTGGGTTCTAGGGGAAGAGGTTGCTTTAAAAAATGACAATATTTTCAAAAAACAACTTAAAAAATAATAAGATTTGTTTTTGAAAACCATCCCTTTCCACGCTATTAAAAACAAAGTGATATAATTAGCATTTAAAACAGACCAAATACAGATTTAAGCTGTCCGGACAAAACATTGGAAAAGCAAAACGCGTTTTCTCATATTGGGTCAAGATTAGACAAAAAGTGAAAAAAGCAGAAGTTGCTTAGAAATATTCGAAACCAAATGTTACCGAAAAAGTGGGTACTTTCGAATTTTTTATTCAATCAAAAATTAAACTAAAACTACCAACCGATGAGAAAATTAAAGAAGAAGTTAAGAAGGTAATTATTCAACCAATTTTTGACAATGATTGGTTGAAAATTTTCCATCATTCGGTAACTCCATCAATAGAATAGCCCCAATGAGGATAGTCAATGTTCTATTATTTCGCCACATTCCAGTTAACTATCTTTGCATTGTTCGTAAAGTTCTCGAAAACTGTGAAATTGGCAGCATCACATATTCGAGTCTAACTTGGCCGATTAAACTGAAAGTCCGCAACCATGATCAGTGAACACGCTTCGGATTCAAAAATAACAAGGCTGCTCGTATCAGGGCGAAGACCTGAATGTTCCGAATGAGCTTTGAGGTCTATGGAGCAATAATAGCATGAAAAAAATTTTTTAAATTAAAAAAATTGAACACTTTGAGATTTTTGTGAAACTCATCCCCCCAGACGCTGTAAAGAATTCCCTTATCAGGTCTTAGTTAGACCTCTTAAGTACGGATGTTAAAATAGTGTAAGATATTAAAAGAGTTCTAACTACGCTAACTAATTCTTAAAATTAGACTAAAACGAAGTTAAAAGAATAGTTGAATTAAATAGGTTTAAACGGTAACTTAGCCAACAAATGAACAATGGCCGTCAAAAAGCTACATCCCTTTTGGCAGGTACTAAATTAATGACGTAACAGCCATACCACTTAATGGTTGTAATACAGTACTCGGTTAATACATCAAGGTGATTATGTTAATCAGATATTTCACTGAGTGTTCCGAGTGCTTTTCAAGGTCTATGGAGCAGTAATCGCATGAAAAAGTTAAAGGTAATAAAAATAAAACGATTTTTTTTTATTAAATCTGAGGTTTTGTGTAAAAATCATCCCCCCACAGGCCATTTAAAGTACAAAGGGGTTGATTTCGCTCCTAGTTGCAAATCAATTGAGGCAAATAAGCTTCCTTGAACCAATTTGGAACGATTTCTAAGACGAATTGAATCCCCGCTTACGCGTTAAGCGCAAAATATATCGCGCGTTAATTGTCCCAAATTGGCCAGCCCCCATAACTTTACGAAAAATGATCACATGTGAGATAAAAAAGACAAAAAAAACCACCCGAGCACAAATATTCCGTTACTTTCTTATTAAAGTTACTTTCGTGTTAAATTTCAAATTATTTATCGTTGAATGAATTCGTAAAAATGTCGAAAATTGCATAAAACTTAATAAAATTGAAACTGAGCCACACTTTTTTAGATACAATAAAAACTTTGGAGCTAGGGTGCTTGAATCAGCGAGTTCATCAACTACCAGGCCTGTACATTATAAATGAAAATGATCTTGATGCCATTTTCGAAAACCGCGTTCGTTGCAATAACTCTGCAGTCATCCAACCGAAAATTTCTATCCACTTTTAAATAAGTTTCAAGAATCATCAACGGTGATCGAAAAGGAACAACAATGACATGGCAAATTTGTTTAAGCAGATTTCAAAAACTACTAGCTAATCATTATACGTCAATAATAGGCTAGCTTTAAGGGAACCCAGTTTTTGTATTTCGCTCATTTTTCCGACTTTCTTAGCGAAAACAACGGAATATTTGTGCTCGGGTGGGTTTCTTTTTCTTCTGATAAATTTTAACTAGTCAGTTTTGACCAATTTTTTTTTCATTCAAAAGTTATTGTCCTGAGGTTAAATTTGAAAAAATATTTCACCTGTGATCATTTTTCGTAAAGTTAGGGGGTTTAAAAATTGCCATTTCGGCCAATTTTGGACAATTAACGCGCGATAAATTTCGCGCTATTAACGCGTAAGCGGAGAATTAATCCGTCTTAGAAATCGTTCCAAATTGGTTCAAGAAATATTTTTTGCCATAATTGATCTGTTAATAGGATTAAATTGTATCACTTTGTACTTATAATGGCGTGTGGGGGGGATGATTTTCAAAAAAAATCTGAAATTTGAAAAAAAAAATTTATTGAATTTTTTTTTTCTTGTTATTACTGCTCGATGGACCGTAAAAGGCAGTCGAAATATCAAGGCTTTGCCCTGATACGAGTAGTGTTGTTTTTTTTATGTTGCTCATTTTTATATGCTGCTTATTTTTGTATGCTGCTCATTTTTGAATACTGCTCATTTTCGTATGCCGCTCTTTTTTGTAGGCTGCTCACAGAGCAAAAGCAAAAAAGTGTCTCAACGTAATTCACTTCAAATTCATTTTAAAAAATCATTTTCGGAGAGAAAAAATATGTCGTTTTTGGTCTTAATTGTGCGTAAAATAGTTCAACTTTTTCGTTGAACTTTTAGTGCGTTTCTCTATCTCTGATGTTTCTGAAAAAAACTCGAGATCACATCAATTTGAAGTAAATTACGCACACACAAAATCAAAGCTTATGCATAGTTCTTCTCCGAAATTTAATGAATCTTTGTCAACGAACTTTCTCCGTTTTCTTTGCTATATAGTTGTAAGTTTCTATCACTTTTAGCTCTTATTTTAATAATCATGATACATATTTTGAAAGACTTTTGCTGTAAAAATTGTGCAAATCTTTAAAAAGAAAGCTTTTGTCATACAAAAAACCTCAAAAATCAAAAATGCTTAGCTTTTTCTGCTTGTGATTCCGGTATGTTTTCTTGAACTCCAACAAAAAAAAATTATGCAAGTTAGAAAATATTTGATTTTTCAATTTTCTTTTCATTTCTCAATTTATCCCCCCCCCCCTCCACAAAATATAAAGTGCAAAGTGATACAATTTGCATCAAGAAACGCATTCTTAAGAGCAATTTGCTTGACTCAATTAAAAATGATAAACTTACTTGCCGCTAACGCTTTAATCGGACGAAGTATATCGCGCGTTCATTAAATTGCAAAACTTTTCCTCTTTAGCAAAAAAAAACTGGAGCCATTAAAATTTATCAGAATTCGTAACATAATTTGCTAGCTTAGATAACTTGAAAAATCAGCAAAGTTTTTCGAGAACGCTTCCGACAAAAACTTCAATTTTGTGAAAATTGGTGTTTCAAGCTGGATGCTGCTGAAAACTTAAGTGCTATAAGAAGAAAAAAACAGAAAATTATAAAACAATAGTAAATGACCAGAAAAAAATAAACTCAAGAAGGAAAATATATACATTTTTTATTTTTAGAAATAACAGTTAAAATTGGATTGCTATAGACTTTGAATCAGAAAACTTCTATAGACTTCGAAATCATAGACTTTGAAGTAGACTTTTTATAGTCTTTGAAGTCAGATTCAGTTCGAAAAAAATGAGTCAGTTTTTGAACTTTACTGCATCTGATGGCTTTCCAGAGTTTATGGCCAACTGTACAAAAATTACACGTAAGGTCAGAAAAGTCTAGATACAAAAACTCGAGCCACACTGTTTCACTCTGTGTGCTCATTAAATTGAATACAAAATGTTAATAAATTGATTTATGGCATTTACATAAGCAGCATTTGTTAGAAAAAATCACACAGACGAGTAGTAAAAACATTTAAGCCATCGTCTTCAGTTTCACCGCTTTTTACCGACAATTATTTAGGAGAATGGCAATTTTGTTTTTGAAATTTTTGTTAAATTGAAGCAAATCATGACTTTGTTCCTGATGTCGAACACATTTAAGAAAAGATTTATCTTGGACATGCAGTATTTCACTAAATACTACCATAACATAAAAAATTACTACTTTTTAAACTTTCTATTTGAGACAAAAGACATTTCTTTTGTTAGTTTGTTCAGGTACCAATCTGATGAAATTTTTTTTAGTTCGAGTACTCTGAAATAAGAAAAACACAAATCTCAAACTTTTTCTCGAATTTAAAAAAACTTTTGCTGCCAGTAAGTTGGACTGGGTAAATGGTCCTGCTTTCAGCTCTGACAATAGAGCAAAACGCGAGCCCTGAGTTTTGAAGTACTTGATGCAGATGCAATCAATTCAGTTGACACAGTTTTCTTAGTCAAATGATTTACTTAATTTAAAAAGTCATCATTTGATCTAAAAGTCGGAATTTTCACTAAAAGCGGGAACTATCCAATAAAAAATACTCGAGAAGAATAATGATTTAGCGTGAAAATTTAGCGTGAAGAATAATAATTTAGAGCAAGGCCGTCAAAATCTTTGGAAATTGTTTTTCATATACTTATTGAGTGAAAGCATTTTTTTTTGAAAATTTATGATTATTTGTCTGTTTTTTCTTTTTTAAATCTTTATTGTTATACAAAAAAATTACAGTTTCTGTCAAAACTGTAAAAATGATGCGAAACAAAAATCGTAACAGTGATGACCCAAAACGTTAACAGGAAATTAATCGATTACTGTATCAACCGTCAATCTAGCCCTGCCTTCAACTCTGACAATAGATTTGGGCACTGGCCCAAATTTGATAGAATTTTCATTTCAAATTAACCCTTATCCAGCGGGTATAAGATAAAAGTATACGAGAAAAGAATAAACACTGACATGAACTTGATTGTTTCAGGTCATAGAAGAGCGAAAGGAGAGACGGGACCGGATCACGAACATGTTCGAAGAGGCGACTAAGAGACTGACCACCCAGAGGTACAGTCGGAAGAACGACCAGACGAGAGACAGCTACGCCATCCTCCGCTCCGAAATGGAGAGGGTCCTCCAGGCGAATAGTCTTTTCTGTTATTTCTGTTATATCTCGTCCGATCAAAAACGTACGATTAGATTATAGTCTCTGATTTTTCACCTCGACTGCAGGGTTGTGACACGTCTTTAAAAATCAGGGTTGTGACACGTTGTGACACATATATAATTTAGGGAGTATTTAGATTGTTCCGTTTTTTGCCCAATTTTTTCGGCCTTTTTAGAGGCCCAAATTTGATAGGAGTTTCATTTTAAATTAACCCTTATCCAGCGCGTATAACAGAAAAGACTACGACAAGGCACCCACTGCATCGGTTGTTGCATCAACCAACTCAGCTGTTGGTGAGGGGGCTGTAAGGGGAGTGGGGAGGGTGAAGAGTCTGCAGGATAAAATAAAGGAGGTGGAGCGAAACGCTGTGGAGAAGTACAGGAATAGAATGCTGGCGGAAGGGGTTAGTATCATATTCCACGAACAAGGGGAGATACCAATTACAAATATTATCTTCTTTTGAAAGGTATTTATTGAGAAGGCCATCTGCATAGTAAAAAGTAATTTTTTGAAGATTTTTTGCCAATAAAAGTGAAACAGAAAAAAATAACGGATCGATTCAAAAATTAAAAAATAAAGACGTTTACAAGCGGTTTCACTTTAAAAAGGCTTTGGATGAAATAACAGAAGTAGAATATAGTAGTTGAATATTAATTTTTTTCTCCATTATAATCATATAAATGCCTCTAATTCTTTTTCCAATGAAAGGGGGAAGGCAGAAGTTATTAAAAATGTGATTAATGGCATGCATTTAAAAAGGAGCGCCACACACTGGCTACTGAGGCCATGACTGCGTTTGCGGAGAGCGGAATTCGAAACAGACTGAAGTTGAATGACACGATGACGCAGATGCAGACCACCGGAATCCTAAACAACATCATGGGCAACAACAGCAAAATGACCTCCAGAAGTAACGGAGGAGTGAACACAGAAACTGCTGTCCAGAATGCTGTTGCAAAAATGATGGCCAGGCACGTCTTGAGAACACAGCAGAATCAGAGACGAAACAGCAAACCATTTTTGGGTGGGAAGTTACCCCCTCTGCCCCAAAACATTCAGTCTAACCAGCCTCAGTCTAACTGGTCAAGACGAAGTTCCAAAGCAACTTTGATAGCGACAAGACGGCAATCACAATCTGAGCGGTGATATAGATCTGACAAAACTGTTCACAGTTTTTTTAAATTTTTTTGTAGAAAGGACTGTTTTATGACAAATACAACGGCATGTATCACTTCCATTAGCTGTAAGTAATCTGAGGATTTTCACCGGCAAAGATATCGAGGAGTATCGATAGGAAGTTCAAGGCAGCGTAGAATTTTCAGCTATTGGAAGTGAGATGCTAGTTTTCGAGAAAAATGCATATTCTATCAAATATAATTTGATATATTTTAAATTGTGTCGTTTTTGATCTGAATGAAAGCTTTAAAATTAAACTCGATAAAAGTACTGAATTGGGCATATTCGGAAACAGTTTTGTTCCAAATAAAATTACAAACTTTTTCTAAAATCTTTTAATTTTTTGGCGGAAATTTTTTGATTTTTTTTGAATTGCCGTTTCAAAAAAAATGTTTGAACTTCAAAAACTTTTACAGTAGAAAAAAAAACTAAGACTTCAACGTCTTAAATCGCCATTTATTGCTGTATCATGAGGAAATATGTGAAAACTATTTACAGTTGCTCAAACTATTGTTCGATAAAATGCTTTACCCTCTCCAATGACTATTTTTGCTTCTTGATTTTGCATGGAAAAGAAAGCAGGGGCAGATCTCGGATTTTCTCGAGGGGGGGGGCGGCGTTTTTTCTTTTTAGGTCGACCAAATTGATTAAATTTAATTTATAAAAAAGCACTGAAAAGACGCTGTTTTGGTCAAATTTTCTGCGCCGCAGGCAGATTTTTGAAAAAATTACGTCAGAAAAGCCGTTTTTGTGTACTTTTTGGAAAATTTTGACAAAAAATTGCGTTTTTATGGCGCGCACTCCCCCTCAAAATTAGAAAGGCGCCTGTAGAAAAATTTTAGGGTCAGTCGGCCAAAAATGCATTTCCTAAAAAGTACCAGAGGGTCTGCAGGGGGTCGAATCCCTGAGAGGGAAGCGTCCACCCCACCCCCCCCGTAAATCTGCCCCTGATAAAAAGCACACATAAAATTTTTCACTTCTTTTAGTTGTCGGAACAATGAAATCAATAGAATCAAAACAAACTGTAACATTTTTGGAAGTGTTTGTTGCGGCAAAAATGATATATTTTAGATATTTAAAGCCAATGCTTGCTTGCAAACTCAGTTCGCAAGCGTTGCTATCAGATCCAAAAATCGAGAAAATTGACAAAATTGCTGTGCTCTAATTGTGTTTTTTTCCATCCTACTGATGTCTTAAAGTCATAAAAGAAAAAAACCTACGACCACTTTTGTAAATCTATAGATTTTGAAGATTGCAATTCTGGTTAACTTGGGATAATTATTGTGCAATATTTTTGTCTTATTAAAACGGGACAAAGTAAATTATTCCAATCTCTACTGAGGCAGACGTTTTGTTGTTGTTGCGACTTTCGAAAAAAGTGAAGCATATATATGCTCGAGGTCGTTTTTCATTCAGAAAACTCTGTTCCTTAGGGGATTGATAACTTGATCCGCATACCGCCTGCCTTGTGACCACACCACTGCACCAACCTGCCATAAGTACGACTAAACAGCTTGTTTTATTATCCCGCACTACAAAATCGTTCCAAAATGAATTGAGGCGGCTAATTGGTTTTTTAAATTCCATACATAACTCAAATTGTAACACTTAAATTTTTAAAATTTTCAGCTCAAAGTTCATAGTTTTGTCAATATTTAATTGACTGAAAATTAATCAAGAACAATTTAAGGGCAGTCGGAACGTTCAGGGCTTTTGCCCTGATACGAGCAGTCTTGTTTTATTATGTTATCAGAGGCAGTATATATTACCTATTGTTCTCTACATAGCTTTTGAGGGTTGAAATGAAGAGAAAATTGACAAAAAAAAATCATTTTTTTTTCAATCAAATTTTTCTTTGGTACTTCCAATGGCAGTCAAAATTTTCAGGGCTTTGCGCCCTGATACAAACTGGTATTGTTTTTCGAATGAAACAAATTTTACTGGGACCCGCGTCCTATCTTTTGAAAAATCCAACTTTAATATATCCTCCATCGGATGCATTTGAGCTAAATGAATAAGACGCGTGATTTTGTATCATAGAAGGGATCTTGTTAACTACCCCCCTACCCCGTACGCTACCTTGTAGCGAAATTCTCCCCTATTAGAGAGAGAATTGATCAGGCGGGAGGATTTTCAAAAAAATTTCGAAAGTCTTGACGACCTTTTTTTAGGTCGACCAAATTGATTTTCCGAGCTCTCCTTAAGCACTAAAAACACCTTTTTGGGCCAAATTTCCTGCGCCGCAAGCAAACTTTTGAAAAACAGGTCAAAAATGCCACTTTTGGGAGCTTTTTGGAAAATGTTGAGAAAAAAATCGCGTTTTTTGGTGCGCTTTCCCTCACGCAGTTAGTATATAATGGCGCCAAAGGCCCATTTAGAAAAATTTTAGGTTTGCTTGGCAAAAAATGGGTTTCTTAAAAAGTACCAAAGGGGGGACTCTTTGGGTCGGCATGGGGTCGAATCCCTGAGGAGACGCGTCCGAACCCCCCCCCCCCCCTAAAATCCGCCCCTGGGTGGAAGTGGGTGAAAATAGTTCCAATAGAAGTATACAAAAAATTAAGCTTCTGAAAGACTTATTTGTTCTATGATGAAAACCCTAGTCCCCTAGTCAATCAAATGAAAACTGTCTTGACAGAACCGTGCTCAATCTTTTCAGGAGATAAATCGCCTTCTAAAACATTACGAGGCCAAATTGTGCACTGGATAGGCGCAGTTTTGTGTCTGTATGTTCCTGAATTCCAGAGACAAGTAATTAAACATTTTCCAAAATGAAAGTGGATTCCACTTACAAGAGTTACGTGGATTCTGTGTACATATACTTGCAACATAAATTTTGTCGGCACATTTAATTAATTCCGCAACAAGCAAATATAGCTAGTTGTTCTGCAACTGTAAGTGGATTCCGCAAAAGGTAAGTGGAATCCGCAAATGTAAGCGGAATTCGCAAACTGTAAAGGAATTCAGAAATTTGTTTATTACTGAACTTGCATATGCATATGCGGATTTTAAAAGCAAGGAATTAACCATTGTCATCGGAATCCATGAACAAATCTTACAACATTGGTTAACTAAATCCCAAAAATTGAATCCCAAAAACTGACCTAGTGCGGTGATATGTCAACCCAAAAAATGAATTAACCCAATTACCGAATTAACCCAATGAATTTATTTGGTGTTGTGTTTCTAAAACTATGATCCCAAAAACTGCTTGCAAATACTAAAGTGTGACACCTTTAGTATTTGCAAGCAGTTTTTGGGATCATAGTTTTAGAAACACAACACCAAATAAATTCATTGGGTTAATTCGGTAATTGGGTTAATTCGGTAATTGGGTTAATTCATTTTTGGGTTGACATATCACAGCACTAGGTCAGTTTTTGGGATTCAGTAATTGAGATTCAGTATTTGGGATTTTGTATTTGAGATTGAGATTGGGAGCGTGAATTCAAAGCATTTTGTTCACAGGTCCACGTTTTACATTACTAGCAGAGTCTGCACATAGCTAGCCAACTTCTCTTCACTGTAGAACATCCGTAAAAATTTCTTTAGGGTAAGAAATCATGGTCTGAGCCAAAACTCCTCCACTTGGTCGTTGTGCCTCGGACGCACACACTGGAAGCACGGAGCACGGCAAAATACAGCCGGCACTTCACCCAGTTCATAGTTTTACTATAGGGTTTCTCCCACTTGGTAGATAATGCTTCTCCTATTCTCCGAAGGAAACTTGCAAAGTCTGGAGCAAGCATCCCATCAACAGACACGACAAGAGGAGTGAAAGACATATGTCTTTCCTGACACGCGTTTGAATATTTTGTCTTTTTCTCAACCTCTGCTGAGTGCAAAACACTCATGGGGCTTCTGTT